CCAGAACCTCTTAGCAGTTTGTCAGACTAGGGAGCTGTTACCTTGAGAAGCCAAGTAAGGAGCTGAAAGGAGGGACATTTCATAAGTCTTGAGAAGCAGGTGGTGGAGGACAAGAGGTAACCCAGGCCTTTTGAGGGCCCTAGCAGGCTACAGAGGGGAAGAAGGCCAGTGAATACAAAGTTCCCTGAGAAATATAGGAAAAATGCTAATTATAATGTTTAGGGGTTGTTAGAGCCCTTAATAAAACTATAAGATCTATTCAGCAGAACCGCCTATGGACAAAGGGGGTGATGATCAAGGAAGCCTTTTCCTGTTCTTATCTCAAGGTCTTGATTGACGCACTAGCTTTTATTTCTTTAACATTTATTAAGCAACTACTTACCTAGGGGCAAGGCATACTGGTAGCAATGCAAAATGAGTATGCTAACATTTGCATTTAGCTACATGCAAAAACACTGTTTAATGTATATTAACCATTTGATCATATGGGTTACCATTATCCTCAGCCCCTTATTATGAGGAAATAAGGCACAGGGGATTCCATAGTTTGCAGGGGGTCACACTACTAGCGTCAAGGCGAGGATTCAGACCCAGGCAGTTGGGCTTTAGGCCCTGAAGCCCGAGTAAATGACCCCTACCCACTTCAGTGTCTGGAGAAGTCACACCTGGTGCGAAATCATCAGGGCCTGTTTCTGGGCTACCTGGGAGCCCACACCAAAAAGAAGATAGGATCCTTCCTCCTCATTCAAGACGTATGTCTGAGTGCTTGCTATGTACTGGGCCCTTTGTTAAGTTATAATAATAAATGGCCTGTGGGATCAATCCCTGCCCAGGAGGAGCTCACAGGCTACTGGGTGAAGCAATTCTGTCCACAGAGCCTAGTAGCAGAGGCTGCAAAGTGCCCACATGGGGACCTGTACAGAACACTGTCAGAGCAGAGGGGGTGGCCTTCTGTGTGGCTGGTGGCTCCCTGGCCTGACTCTGCCCAGACAAGAGCCTCTGCTGGCTGAGGTGGGAAGCACCTTCTTCTCTGGTGCCCTTGAGGAACCAGGCCCAGAGAAGGCCTCCTTGCTTGACTGTAGGGAAACTTTGGTGATGATTGTCCACTGCGTCGGACCCAGCTGTCTTGCCACCAGTGGGGGACAGTCTTGGCACAGCTCCCCCCCTGCTCCGCGCCCAGAGCACACCAGCCTGAGGCAGCAGTGGAAGGCAGTGCCTTCTGTGGCGTTCAGAAGGTGGAGGAAGGAGAGGGACCCCATTTGGGTCCTTCTCTCACTCAGTATGCTGGGGTCAGAGGAAGAAGACCTGCCCTCCAGTCCTGCCCACAGATAGTGACTGTGTGACTTCAGGCTGGATCTGCAGCTTGGCTTTCACTGATCTTCTTCCCCCAAAATGAAAATTGCAGGGTGCTAAAATTTGTTTCTGAGTTATATCCGCTACACCTTTATTCCCACTACATTTTGTAAAGACTCTGTTACAGCATTCATCATAATCATTTGAAAGTCTCTCAACCCACTGGAATTTTGGACAGAAAAATCACATCGATTTTAAAAACCTTTTTTAAAAAAAATTTAGAAATCTTTTTATCCCAAGCATAGACTGACACATTGGCGTTCCAAAAATTGAATAGGTGAATACATGAACAAATGAATGAATGAATGAGGCAGCCAATCATTAAATTATTTAGAGGGTTACTACTTTGAGGATGAGAGCAGACAGCACATATAATAGGCTGGTGAGTACAAATAGTACCCTCTGGGCACCTGGGCTCAGTTGGTAGAGCCTCCGACTCTTAATCTTGGGGTCGTGAGTTTGATCCCCACATTGGGAGTAGAGTTTACTTAAATAAAAAAATAACAAATAAATAAATAAAAATAATAAACAAATAGTACTCTTTTTGTTCCATTGTAGCAGTTTCCAAATACTACATTCTGGGCGTGGCTATGTTGGGATCCCTCAGGAACTAAAGCAGAGATGCTCAGACATGCCTAAAGATTCTGAATCAGTAGGCCTGGGGTGGGACTCAGGAATCTGTCAGTATGCTCTCTCTTTTTTTCTCTTTTTGAGAATGTAAGCTGGAGCGGGGGCTGGGGGGTGGGGGCGCAGAGGGAGAGAGAGAATCTTAGGCAAGCTCCACACCCAGCTTGGAGCCCAACTGGGCCTTGATCTCAAGACCTGAGAACACAACCTGAGCCGAAATCAAGAGTGGGACACTTAACCAACTGAGCCACCCAGGCGCCCCAGGCAGTATGGACAAATGTTCCCCAAGAGCCACTGTAGCTTGCAATGGGTCAGGGTGGGAACTCAGTGTGCCATTTCACCTGCCCTTAAATCTGCCCTGCTTCAAGCTGAGGACCACAGGTTATGGCATTGGTACAGGTCTGGCAGGAAGCATGGGGAGGGCAGAGCACTCCAGTCTTGCTTGGAGGACTTGGGGAAGTCCTTCCAACAATTAGCTGTCTCTCACTCTTCCTGAGATTGTTAAAGGGAAGATGTCACGAACCCCAAGGAGCTGTGACCAAGCAAACTTCCTTTGGGTTAGTGTGATGTTTCTAAAAAATCTCTGTTGACCTCCCTGTGTGTTTCACTTTGCCTTCCTTTTTCCTCATCGTCGTCCCCGTGATTTTCCAAATGGCCAAATGACACTCTTTTTATTCAGTCATGGGCTGTGAGCACTACGGGTGGAATTTTCTTAAGCCCTCTGCTCATGTCCCTGTACATACTTTCTGTGGATGACGTTATATGATGAAAGACCCAGTTGTGACTGTCCATCAGCAGGAGAGTGCTGGAGGCTGGTGAGCAGATAGCCTGACTCTGGTTCAGCTTCTTCTGTTGGTTATTTGGGAAACTCAGTAGCTGTTTCTCTGGATTCAGACACAGTACTCTGCGGTTTCCAAGGGTTCTGGCATGTTGCTCCAAATACAAATTAGGGCAAGAACAATGAGACAGATGCTCATCTCTTTAGAGAAAAATTTCTAACTCTTTATTAAGTCATCTTTTCAATCCAGGATGTTCCTGAACACATTAGCATCATTAAAAGAATCGGGTTCATTAACTTCAGAAGATTATCATTTTAGGGTGAAGAAAAATCGGTGCTACCCAAAGTTGGTGTGTTGTGGTTAAAAGCAGGGACTCAGATATTCTGGGTTCAAGCTCCGCCTCCAGCCCTTGCTAGCTGTGTGATGAGGACAAGTCAGTTAAATTCTCCTTGCCTCAATTTCCTCATCAATACAATGGGGATAATTAAACCTTCCTTACAGATTGTTTAGTGATGACCAAATAAGATAACCTGTTCCAGAAACTGAAAAATGCTGGGCACATATTAAGTCTTCAAATGTTGGCAACATTGCTATTTTATTTAGTGAACAAACTTTTTAAAAAATATTTTATGGGGCGACTGGGTGGCTTAGTCGTTAAGCGTCTGCCTTCGGCTCAGATCATGATCCCAGGGTCCTGGGATCGAGCCCCGCATCAGGCTCCCTGCTCAGTGGGAAACCTGCTTCTCCTCTCTCACTCCCCTTGCTTGTGTTCCCTCTCTCGCCGTCTCTCTCTCTGTCAAATAAATAAATAAAAGTCTTTAAAATTTTTTTTATTTATTTATTGAGAGAAAGTGAGAGAGCAAGAACAAGGGGAGGGGCAAAGGGAGAGGGAAAGAATCTCAAGCAGACTCCGTGCTGAGTGCAGAGCCAGATTCGGGGCTCAATCTCACGACCCCAAGATCACGACCTGACCCGAAACCAAGAGTTGGGCACTTAACTGACTGAGCCACCCAGGTGCCCCAGTGAACAAACTTTTTTGAACAACTCCTAAGTACCATTTTAAAATAAAAAGACAAATTATAGTGCCAGGTACTCATATGGAAAGACTCTAAACATACTATCAAATTAAAAGTGTAACTTGAAGCACTGGAAACAAATTTTAAAACTCTTTTATATACGTATATTTATATGTATGCATGTATATGTGTGTATGTATTCTATGTGCATGTTCAAGCATAGAAATACATCTGGAAAAAATCCGTTAGCAAGTTATTATCAGTGAAGAGACAATTCAGTTTTTCAAAGGGAGAACTTCTAAAGGGTACAGGTGATACACCAATACAAGACAGTTTTTGCTAATAAGATGTTAGCATAGCGCCCAATTGTAATATCATTTCTTAGTAGCATGAGTCTAGTATGCTGTTTGTGGGACTACAAATATTCATTCATGAAGTCTATAAACATTCATGCAACACCACTGCATTCTAGGCCCTCTGTTCGGCAGCGGCAACATACATAGGACCTGACCTCTGCCTTTGGGAAGGTTTCAGTATAGAAGGATTATAGAGATCCCCCAAAATAAAATGTCATCAGCACCAAAACAGTCACAGCTGCAGCAGTATGATCATTTCATAATTGTGATGGAAACATTTGCCAAAACTTACGGAGTGTTCACTAATGTGCTAGGCATGCTTATGGATATTATTATGATTGTGATCTATGATTGTTACAGTTACTATAGTTTGATGCTGTTCTTTTTTTTTAAGGATTTATTTATTTATTTTGGGGAGACGGGGCAGGAGGGAGAGAGAATCTTAAGCAGACTCCGTGCTGAGCACAGAGCCCAACATGGGGCTTGATCTCACGACCCTGAGATCCCAGCCTGAGCTGAAACCTAGAGTTGGACACTTAACCAACTGCACCATCCAGGCGCCCCTTGATGCTATTCTTTATAACCAAACCAGACTGCTGCAGAGTTAGAGAGTGAGTGACCAGAAACCTACTATGACTGCTAGAAGTGTTATTTCTATGCTCTACAATCCAGCATTACCAAGGATTTTGCCACCCTGATGCCTTTCAGAAACCCAGTTCAGACAATGCATGTTGCTTTGTTTCCAGGTGCTTTCTTCCCTTAATAATATATAAAGTCGTGTTGCTAGTACCTTAATCACACTGATTTGTCAGCCTATTTAAGTCCTCTTTATTGCATGTTTTTTTTTCTTTTAATAACCTGCCTTGAAGAAGGTTAAGCTGAAACCACTGCTCAGCTTCCAAGATGTTGCCACCCAAACTGCATGCGCTTTTCTGCCTCTGCAGCTGCCTCGCACTGGTCCATCCTATTGACTGGCAAGACCTAAATCCTGTTGCCCATATTAGATCATCAGGTAAGAGGTCTCTTTGTTCAAGGGCTTGAGCAAATGACCCATTGCCAGACTCCACGTGGCCCCAGAGCAGTTGCATGTGTGGACTTCTAACCAAGTTTTATTACAAGGAGGCTCATGGAGACCTTGTGTTCTCCTGGGGTAGGGGACAGAGCCTCACTTGCTCCTCATTCCAACTGAAACTGAACAAAATCCTGTCTTCTTCAACATCATGACTGCAGGGCAGAACCAAGGTGAGGCATTTTCAGACAAACTGGAAGCTCAGCTCGCAATCACCATGGAGAACTTCCTCAACCCGGTCCCTTATCTCTCTCGCCGCCGTAACCTGCGCCCATGCACGTGCAGTGACACAACCCCCTGGAGCTCCCTCAGAGGCAACCGCAAAACCTGCTCCCATGGAGGGGGAAGGACAGGCAGTTGTCTTGATCAACAAGTGTAGCCCTGGTTCGTACTGGGAGGAGATGTGAGAAAACGGCAAGTTAGGGTCTTGGGGCCCAGAGGGAAATAATATTTTCGCTGTCATCACAAGAAGAGGTAGGGATAAGCCGAAGAGCTCCGGGTGAGAATGGACGTGCATCTCTTGCTCTCTCTTACCTTGTGGTGGGAGAGAAGGAGAGGAGGTGGAGGTTTAGTCAAGCCCAGAAGAGGTGGCCAGAGTGAGGCAGCCATCTCTAGACAAGTACATCTGCCATCACCAAGAAAGATCTTTACTGCAAAGAGATTGCTTCTGGAGCTTTGCAAATACCTGCAAGTCCCAGAGTGTTGTGCTCTGTGCTCTTCTCTATCCAGCTTCCCCTCAGGTGAACCATGTAGGTGGCTTCTGAATGGTGTCACACTGTCTGTGGGCACACACCTGGTCACGCTGGATCTAGCTGTTCAGGTTTGATGGGTGACTCCTTATTGTAACATTTACAAAAGAGCTTTCATCACCTTGTGCCTGATAAATATTGCTCTACTTCATAAGGAAGTAAAAGCATCTGTAGGAAGGACTGTATGTTGTATCTACATTTGCATAGGAGACGGCATAGTATCTCACAGGTGCACTCATTCAACAACACTTATCAGGAAGCTGGGGCACCAGTGACTGAGACAGTGAGCTTGTGGACAAGCTCAAGGAGCTTCCAGCCTCGTTAAATTAATTTTCCCAGTACCTTTTCCAAGGATTGGAAACAAGTAGCATCTTACATGATGAGCAGATTATCAGCGAGGAGACATTTACATCATGCACTTCTTGTTGGTACAGGGTGGGAATTTCAAAACATGTCTTATATCCCCCTCATGTTTGAAAATCATTGGAAAACTGCCATTGGACTGGCAGAAACTTGGGGAAAGAGACACAACTTTATTCATCTTTGTAGCCCCAGCCTTGAGCCCAATGCCCCATTCTCAGTGCTCAAAAATGAATGCAAAAATAGTTTGTAAATTATTAGAAATCATTTATTAAATAAAGTATTAAAGTAATAGATAATTGTTTATATTCGTCTAGCCAAATGAATATATAGTAAATATGGTTATGCAGGCAAAGTAGGGGCTAGAGATATCCTTTTTGTGAGTGGAGAACATAAAGCTGTGTAAGAAAATGTCATGTTCCTGGCATATATACAATCCGTCTCAAAACCCAGGAGTGAATATCAGGAATACTTGACAAATGAACACCACCGGAAATGTGTAACAAGATACATAGCACTCAATGGGCTCTAATGCTCCTATTGAACTAAAGTTAAAGAAAAATAGGACGTGACATGTATAAGTTTTTTGTGTGTGTAACAAATGAAGTAAAATATTTATTTTTTTACCTTTTTTTATTATGTTCAATTAGCCAACATATAGTACATCATTAGTTTTTGATGTAGTGTTCAATGGTTCATTAGTTGCATGTAACACAACAGTGCTCATCACAACACATGCCCTCCTCAATACCCATCATCCAGTTATCCCATCTCCCAACCCCCCTCCCTTCTGTACCCTCAGTTTCTTTCCCGGAGTCCAAAGGCTCTCATGGTTAGTCTCCCTATCTGATTTCTTCCTGTTCAGTTTTCCCTCCCTTCCCCTGTGGTCCTCTGCTCTATTCCTTATGTTCCATATGAGTGAAACCATATGATAACTGTCCTTCTCTGATTGACTTATTTCACTTAGCATAATCCCCTCCAGTTCCATCCATGTTGATGCAAATGGTGGGTATTCATCATTGCTGATGGCTGAGTAATATTCCATTGTATGTATGAACCACATCTTCTTTATCCATTCATCTGTTGAAGGACATCTTGGCTGCTTCCACCGTTTGGCTACTATGGACATTGCTGGTTTGAACATTGGGGTGCATCTATACCTTTTTTTTTGAATAGTTGTTTTTTTTCACATTTGTTCATCATTTTATTTTTTTTATACACAACTAATGAATCGTTGAACACTACATCACAAACTTAAGATGTACTATATGCTGGCTAACCGGACATATATAAGTTCTGAACCACAAACTGCATCCTCTAGAGGGTGGCCATTCAACCTGTCAAGCCTCCTCCTGCCTCATCCTTCATGATGAGCCCTGATGAGCCCTGATCCAACAGATGGTTTGAGAACAGGAAATCCAGGACCATGACTGGATTAGCTGCAGGCCGATGAAACTTTCCGGCAGCCGTCCTGGCACTGAACAGCCACAGGGCTCTGTAGACCTACACCCCACCCCGGGTCAGCTCCAGGCTTCCCGAGAGGTCAAGTGTCTCAGAATAGGCAGCCCTGTAGCCTCATCTTGACCTGAGGCTCCTGAATGCTGAGTGAGGAGGCTTTGAGGTAGCGCAGGTTTTAGAGAACCAGGGTACTGCCAGGTGATTGAGAAAGGTTCCCAGAGGTTTTGTGGCATTGAGATCTTATAGAGAAAACTTGTGTGACTCAGAACCCTCCCAGGGCCCTAGAACTGAACTCCTACTTCCAGAGGTAGTACCTCCAAGGCAGCTGTGTGCTCTCTGGGGCTCCTCCTCAAAATGTGTGAGCCAGAGTCCTACCCCCTCCAACCCGGTACCGTCACATCATGGCTGATGTGGGTGTCGGCGCAGCAGAACACAGCCGCTCCTCGAGGAGGGAAAGACAGGTGTGGCATCTCCCTATGGTTTGGGGTCTCCCTGTTTTCACCACAAAGCATGGCTTGGTAGACAGTCTTAAATGGGAAAGAAAGAGCCTTTCTAAATAGGACTGAAAATGTTCACCTTCTGGGTGAAGTTGTTTTTCTTGTTTTTTAATGTCTGAAAAAACACCTTGAATCTGCCCAAAGGGAAAATGGTATGGTCTAGTTTAGATCTGCTAACACTCCTCTAAGGGCTTAAATCTGGGTAGCCAGAGTCAACTAACTCTAGGTAAGGGCCACATAATATCAGTTGTCTGCTGATTATGTGTTGTGTTCCGTGCTAGGCACTTGACTTACATTATCACTTCATTCTTACAGCTGTCCTGTGGGCTGGTCAAGTGCTTTTTGCCCCACTTCACGAATGAGGATAAGAGAGGGGAGTGAATTGCCTAGGCCAGAGCATTATAGCATCAGAGGTCTAGCTGGAATCCAAAATAGGATCACCTGGCTCTAATGCCCCAGGTCCATTCATCTCCCACCTCCCTTGGAACTCCTTCCTTACCTTTGGACAATGAATTGTTGACCCATGTGTCAGACCAGGTGTTCTGGTACCTTAGCCCAGTGCTTTTTAACTTTAATAGGCACGGCTTTTCTGAGTCAGTAGCATTGGGCTAAGGCTAAAGATCCTGCATTTCCAAGCTCCCAGGTGATGCCAGTAATGCTGATCCGTGGGCCAACTTTGAGAGCAAGCCTTATGTTTTGAAGGGCCTGTCACTGACAGGTCTTCACACATTAGTCACCAGCATGAAAGACGGACTTCTTCTCATAACTCAAAACCTTTCTGGGTGATGCCCTGTGATATTGATGTAAGTTCCATATCTAACATAGCTCCAAGTGTCTTAGTGGCAGAGGCAGAATGTGATGGAAAGCTTGAAGGAGTCTAACAGAGAAATCGACTCTCACAGTCCAGTAAAAGAAAATATGTAGGCAAGCTGAATCAAGAAATGCGAAAGTCTGGATATAATGATATTTGGACTCACCATCTTATAAGTAAATACGGACTTCTATGGGGTTTAGAAAGGAGAACGGATAAAACTGCAGGTACTCTGAAGAGTTTTGGCACCAAACAGGGAGGGACAGTTTCAGGAGTGGGTGGGTAAAAGGATATATGCCATAAAGCATTTGATGCAAATGAGAGCCCAGTGGCAATGAAAAGCTTAGCTCAGCTCACTTCACGAATATTTATGGAGCACCAACTATGTGCCAACATTAAGATCTGAGGACCCAAAGACATGTATACAGCTCTTAAGAAATAGCCTAGTGAGGGAGACAGAGTATGCAAACACATCATTTTAATATATAGGATAAGAAGAATGATAAAAATATATACAGGAAATTGATTTGATATTGATGTTGAAATGACTAAGTCTAGGGAGTGAGGGAAAGCTTCAGAGAAGACCTAACATCTGATCAAGATGTTAAAGGTTGAACAGGAGTTTGCCATTGGGATTTCAAACACAGGAAATAGAATTTATTAAGGTGCAGAGGCATCAGACAGCTCAGTGTGTAGCTCGGGAGTGCTGGAGCATGTGGAAGGTGGATAACTTAAAGGAAAAAGCAGAAGAAGAATACAAGGCAGTGGACCTTCAGATCACAAAGGGTCTTTCTTACAGTGCCCAGGAACTTGAGATTTAACTTGTGCACCTACGAACTCTATCCATTTCAACCCTGAAACACTGGAAGGATAGGCCACATTTGTGCCTCAAGTAGCAATGGATGTAGCATAGGAAGGCATGTGTAGATTTAAATACCACCTTACAAACTGCCTTCCACAGAGATTCAACTATATCCCCCCTTCAGAAGTACCCACTTAGTGATAGACACCCATTGAAAAATTTTCAGAAGCATTGCCTGGTGAAATTTGTGCTTCAAATCACTCCAAGAGCTGTGTGAAGAAGGATGCATTTGAAGAGGCCAAGATCCAAGATGAATAGGACAGTTAGGAGAGATGACAACTGTCTGGTCAGGAGACTGTGAACGTGTAAATAGACAGCTGAGCTAGGGGACTAGGGCTATACTGGAGAGAATTCTAAGCTAAAAACAAGTGTTAGAAATTGAGACCTAGTTGGATATAGGGGGTTGATGAGAAGGAAGTAGGAGGCTGATTCCCGGGTTTCTGGCTTGGGTTGCACGAGACAGGGAATGCTGGAGTTGCAGGCTGTGTGGTTGGAGGATAAGGCAGGGAGGGTTGGGAGATGGCCATTCAATCTCATTTTGGACCATTGGCCTTGATGTTCCTAATGGGAAGGACAGCGGGTGGAGGCACCCAATAGGAAGCTGGAGGCCCAAATCTGAAATGTGAGGTTAGGTTTATGTTTGGGAAAAACGGATTGGGGAAGTGGTCTTTGCCATGATCTGGATCAGAGTAGAAGCTAAGGGCAAGGCTGTAAGTATTAGGACGTGATAGTCTTAAGCATGTGGAAGGTGGATAACTTAAAGGAAAAAGCAGAAGAAGAGTACAAGGCAGTGGACCTTCAGATCACAGAGGGTGTTTCTTACAGTGCCCATGAACTTGAGATTTAACCTGTGAACCTACGAACATAGTAAGGGGCTCAAAACATGGAAGATATTGTCTTCCCTTGTCAGAGTGGTCGTCATACTCTTGGGATAGATAGTACAAATGCAAGAAGGTGCCCTGTAGAGGAAAGAAATTAACGTACTTTTAGTGAGGTTGCTTCTCCAGTTTGTTCCAATAGCTATTTTGCATACTTAATTAGTGTGGGGAAGGGGAAGGGCTATGGGGAAGGGGAAGGGCTATGTCCACCTATGGGGAAGGGGAAGGGCTATGTCCACCTCTGTCCTTATCCCCACACAATACTTTGCTTACATCGGGCCCTCAGTAATTATTTGTGTATTTTACTAGTTGGGTAAAGAAATGAAGGAGGCCAGGAACTAAGGGGTGTAACTTGATTCCCTTGGAATTTCCTTTTGCATAATAAAGTCTGGAGTGTAATGAATGACAGTGAGATAATATTTACCTTTTTTTTCCAGCATGGGCCAATGAGATACAAGCCCTGATGGCTGTTGCAAGCATTGACCAATCTAAAATTCCCAAAGGAAATGGGCCTTATTCTGTCGGTTGTACAGACTTGATGTTTGATCATACTGAGAAGGTAATGCTTTGATTAATACCACTTATCCTTATATTCTAATACTGACTGTTACTATTGCCCACTAGAGGGTTTTGAAACTTGCCCTTGCCCTCACCTGAGAACGACTCATTTTGCCATTTGTCTTATCCCATAGGAAGCCTTTCACTAGTTAAGTCATTCCCCAACTTGTTGCTGTCATCTGACTAATTTATCAATAAACTCTCTCTATTTTCCCCGTCCTTAATGGTTGAAACCAACATGCTCATACTTTCTTTTCATGCAGAAAGCATATTGTTCTATTTTGCTTCTCTGTCTACTGTATTTCAATCACCACAGCAGCTTAAAAAAGTTTTCTCTGGACCTCTCTGTGAACAACAAAGGTATTTGGGTCTCCACTAATTAAGTATGCAAAATCGCTATTGGAACATACTGGAGAAGCAACCTCACTAAAAGTACATTAATGTCTTTCCTCTACAGGGCACCTTCTTGCGTTTGTATTATCCTTCCCAAGAGGATGACCACCACTCTGACACCCTTTGGATCCCAAACAAAGAATATTTTTTTGGTCTTAGTAAATACCTTGGAACACACTGGCTTATGGGCAAAATATTGAGCTTATTTTTTGGTAAGATTTCCACTGATCCTGCTTTGTAGGATCTAGAATATAAGAAAACCTCGAAAACAGCCAAAGTTTCCGGCAAAGATCAAAGTAGATTTTCTCCAGTCTAAACTTAGTATTTCTTGAAAGCCCAGATAACCATCAAAGAATCAAGGGTTCTCATTTGGTTTGTTCTGCGTATATTGGGGTAGATGGAGGGAGTGAAAGTGTCAGACTTTCCGACTGGCTGTAATATCTGTCTCTTGCTGGTCTTTCATTTTCCTGCTTACATACTGTGGGGGAGCAATAATCTGGTGAGTAAGTAGCGGGCTGGCTGAGATGCCCCGTGCCCTGGATGGTCTGTAGCAAAGTGAAAGCTAATTTCTCACCTGTGGTAAATGAGGAGACTCTACTCTCATTCCCATTGCCCACCCCCAAGGAAACAGCTTCTCTCACCAAGACAATCTGCTGTGCATTCATCACTTCGTTTGTCTACGTATCTCTAATATAAATGTTTCCTTCCTTATCTGTTTGATCAGACACTACTGTTGGGCCAGTGTTAACTATGTCTTCAAATTTCCGTCTCAAAACTACCTACAACTTTCGGCATTTATTTTAAACATCTCCTCGGGGTTTTCTTAAAAACCACTTTATAACAGAAATATAGAAATACAACTACACCTCTTTATGGTGCTGAATAAGTTATAAATCACTTCCAGAGCAATCATCACATCCAATCTTCATGATTCCATCTCCATTTTATAAATGAGAAAATGGAACACAAATAACTGAGCATAGTAATGACAATAGCAATTGAGAAGTGAAGGAAGGGAAGACAATATCTTCCATGTTTTGAGCCCCTTACTAATGTCACGAGATGGGTGCTTTGCATATATTCCCTACTTAGGTAGTGACATTCTCACAAAAGCCCTGTAAGAGGGCGCCTGGGTGGCTCAGATGGTTGAGTGTCTGCCTTCGGCTCAGGTCGTGATCCCAGGGTCCTGGGATCGAGTCCCACATCGGGCTCCCTGCTCAGTGCAGAGCCTGCTTCTCCCTCTCCCTCTGCCATTTCCTCTGCTTGTGTTCTCTGGCTCTATCTCTCTCTCAAATAAATCAATAAAATCTTTTTTAAAAAAAGAAAAAGCCCTGTAAGATATCATTTGCTCTATTTTTCAAAAGAGGATGGTGAAACTCAGAGAATTCTTGTAACTTGCTCAAGATCAATAGTAAGTGGCAGAGCTCCATCCAAAACCACAGCTGAGTATGAAGTCAATGGTCTGTTTCTCTTGATCATAACCAAATTAGAATGAAAGGAGTCCCTGATTTGAAGATTCTGGTTCTCAGTGTAATGCTCCTGAGGTTCAATTTGGTTTCAGAATATTCCCTTTGAAGTTTTGCCAACACCTGGGATTGGTACCACCCTGTATTGAATACACCTATAAGTAGGAAAGTGTCTCATCTTAAGCACAGAGCTGGCAGTGAGAACTGATGATTAATGATTTTTTAGTCTTGAGAAAAACTACATGCTTCAGGTCCTTGGTTTGTAGGTATCTAGTAGCAGACTTTTTAATGAATTTACTAGTAGTACATAAAAACATAAATATAAATTCCGTGGGTCAGGATTGACACTAAGAAGATGTAAGTTAAATTAACCAGCAACATTCAAGTCAGAGAAAACACTAATTATCATCTCTCATTGTTGTCTAGGTTCAATGACAACTCCCGCAGACTGGAATTCCCCTCTGAGGACTGGTGAAAAATATCCACTAATTGTTTTTTCTCATGGTCTTGGAGCATTCCGGTAATGTTTGAAAGGCTGAACAATTTTAATTCCTAAGGACCAATGACCGAATGATTCCCACCCCCCACCAAAAGGAGAGCAGATTTTAGAGTATCATGCTGGCTCCTGTCTTGGAGGAATTGGGGTTCCTCAAATATTGGCTGTGGTCTGTTTGTCAGTCCAGCCCTATCTTGTCAAGTAGTTTGTTCCTTCCTTCTAGCTCATGGGGACTAGCCTCATGACAAGAAGAGAAGGGCTTACATTTTTGGCTGTCACCCTTCTATATTATAATATCCACACTCTCAAAACCACCCACTGGGTTAGGTCTTCTGAGAAATTGACACCAAGATTGGATTACCTGTAAAAGACATTTATTGAGAGAAATGTCTATGAAGGATAGAGGGAATTGAGCAGGAAAAGAGAGGGAGAACCTTCAGATCATGATGCAGCTTGGACACATGGGAACGAGATAGGCAATGGAGAGATTGGTACAAAGAGTCTCAGATTATAGCACACTTCAAGGAGAGATGGGACCAGGCCAACTGAGGGAGTGCTTGACCAGAAGTTGCTCGTCAAAGGAGTCCTGCATCTCACCAGAATCGGCCTACGTTAGTACCTATGCTTTGCCCAGTCACTGGGTGCAGCCCACAGGAAGCTTAGCTGGTGGTGGTGGATCTAGAGGGACAGGGCTGGGTGGGGTCTTTAGTCAACTATGCTCTCGGTGGCATGATCTCTGAGTGGCACATTTTCACGACCTCCATTCCCTCTCCTCTTCCATTTTCTCAGCTGCCTACCCTTCTTTCTACCTCAGAGGATTATAAGACTTTCAGAAATAGGTGGCTTTTAACTGGCAAGAAGTTGAGTAGTATCTGCAATAGAAATTATCTTCAGGGGGCACCTGGATGGCTCAGTGGGTTAAATGTCCGACTCTTGATTTTGGCTCAGGTCATGATCTCAGGGTCATGAGATCAAGTCCCACGGCAGTCTCCACGCTCAGCGGGGAGTCTGCTTGAGATTCTCTCCCTCTCCCTTTCCCTCTGCCCCTCCCTCTGCTCCTGCTCTCTCTCATTCTCTTTCTCTCTCTCTCTCAATAAATAAATAAATAGATAAATCAAAAGAAATTATCTTTGGTATTTTAATTGTAGTCTAGCTAGTTATTTGAATTCTACTTGATCCAGCCTTCTGCCTGTTTCTATGAATAAAGCTTTATTGAAACACAGCCACATTCATTCCACCTTTCACATTGTCTGTGGCTACTCTGGTGCGATGACAGCAGAGTTGAGTAGCTGTGACAGATACTGTATTGCCCACTAAGCTGGAAATATTTACATCCTGGCCTTTGACAGAGAAGGTTTGCTGATCCCTTGCTGAGTAGGTTGTGAATCTTCAACAGTAGAAGACAGAGTTCCTACTACCTCCCTTTTGTTCTCTATTGCCATTTCCTATTGAATGCATGACATGAGAAGATTGTGCAGAATGAAGAATGGAAAGGGGGTATGAATGCAGTTGTTTAGCACATGATTCTGTGTCCAATCATTTAAATAAAGTTGACCTGTGTTCAGTCTTTACCCTGTTTTAGACACATTGTTACAAGCACTGAAAACGTATTAACTTACTTCATCCTTAACAGTAATCCCACCAGGTCCCCCACCATTACAGAGGAAAGATCAGTGACTTATCCAAGGCAGATCAGTGGTGGATCCAAACGCAGGGATCAGACTGCAGGTCCCGTTCTCCTAAGCACGACACTGCACTGCCTTCCTACATAATGCTGTCTTATGAGAACTTTACAACTGTTCTAAAGCAAAGGTGTTGTTAGTCCCATTTTACAGGTGCTGACAAAGATTCGGTAATTACCTAGAGTCATATAGCTGATAAGTAGTGAGGCCAAGATTAAAGCCCAGAACTCTCAAAAGTGATATTTAGAATCACCGCATCAGGGTTTCTCAATCTTGGGACTACCGACGTATTGCAGGAAATAATTTCTTATGGTGGAGGGTGGTCCTGTGCACTGTAGGATGTTTAACAACATCCCTCTACCCATTAGATGCCAGTAGCCCCCTCTGCCCAGTCATGATAATGAAGATACCTCCAGACATTGTCAAATACCCCCTGAGGGGCAGAGCTGCCCTCTTCCAGGACCACAGCTATCTGGTTTACCCCCGGGCACTACTACGGGGGTATAATGGCCTCCATGTTCCCAGGTTTATTAGCAGACCCCGGACCTCAATGCTTTCCTCTTTTTGTTTTGAAGGACAATTTATTCTGCTATTGGCATTGATCTGGCATCGCATGGGTTCATAGTTGCTGCTGTAGAACACAGGTAGGTCACCTGAGCTCTAACTTTCAAAAAGATTCATAAAAAAAAATCAATGAAATTGTCAACTGTGGTTACATGATGAGGAAAAAAAAAGAGAGAGACTGAGTTAAACTGTCAAGAGTTAAAAAGCAGCTAGCATTTCTGGTGTTTATTGTGTGCCCTCTTCATGCACCATCATTTAATCTTTGTAAGACCACTTTTAAATGCTTACTATTATCACTGTTTTAAGGAGGAGGGAAACGAAGCTGGAAAAGGGTAAGTAATTTGCCTCACCACACGGTGAGTAAGTGGCAGCACTGGGATTTGATTTCTGGTGTGAGTCTCCAAAGGACCTCCTAGAATTGTGAAGATAGAATGGGTGGACTTGACCCGTAGCAAAGACGTTTTCTTAGACCTCCCTTGGGGGCCTCTTTGACTTTAAAACAAAGGTAGAGTGGAAGACGACAGGGAAGTCAGAAAGATCAGGGTAAAGTTGGGGATGGGGAGCATGGGAGGGGATGAAGAAGAGGAAGAACAAGTGTAAGTCATTGAATCTGTTTGCATTGTAGAGATGGATCCGCCTCTGCGACTTACTATTTCAAAGACCAGTCTGCTGCAGAAATAGGGAACAAATCTTGGCTCTATCTTCAAAGCCTCAAATCAGAGGAGGAGATGCCCTTACGAAATGAACAGGTAGATGGCAGCAGGAGGGGAGGAGGCGTGGTGACTAAAAAGCATATGCAAAAGGATGATGCTTGTTCATGTCATTTACATACTGCAAGGTGTGCTCCTCACTCTCCTATTTCCTGTTCCCGAAAGACCTGTCAGAAGATTCTGTGTGATACAATTCCCCTAATGAAAAGCCTGGATCATAGTAAAAACAAACATAAAAATCCTGAGAGAAGACAGTACATATTCAGAAATCTTTTGCCATAGAACTTCTAATTTTAGAAACTCAGAAGTGCTAGAAAAGAAATTCACAAAGATCCTCCCTTCCAAGGCAACATTAAAGACAGAGATGCAGTATGAAATAGTAGGAAGAGGCCAGGCCTTAGAATCCAACTTTCTATGTTTGAATGCTGGCGCCATCACTTCATAGCAGGCTGATCTTGGACAAGTTACTTACTCTCTTTTGCCTCTATGTTTTATTGTTTACAACATAATGAATAATAACAGTATCTTTTTCTTTTCTTTTTTTTTTTTAATAACAGTATCTTTTTCGCAGGGGTGTCTGGAAGATGAGGTGAGAGAAAGCACACTGGCTTTCACCTCTGGGCCAGACTTTACAGTGGGTGCTTTACATATATGTCCTTGCATTTAATCCCACCCACATTTCACTGAGGCATTATCACACAATAAATGTATCACACAATAAATGTATCACACAATAGATGGTGTGACCCCTGAGGTCACACAGCAGGTAAGCAACGGAGCTAGGATTTGCACTAAGCTATGACTACCTGCAGAGCTGGAGCCCGTGTCATGATGCTGGGCTGTCTTTCAATCACTAACCACTTGGACATTTCCAGTTTAGAAGCAATCAGCCATGCTTCCCACATGCAACTCCTACACAAACTCTAAAATAAGTGTCACAGCTTTTTACTTTGTCATTTCCTTTTTCTAATAATCATATTAGGTACAGAAAAGAGCAAAGGAGTGTTCCCAAGCTCTCGATTTGATTCTGGACATTGATCGTGGAAGGCCAGTGAAGAATGTATTGGATTTAGAGTTTGAGGTGGAGCAACTGAAGGTGAGCTTAAGAAAAAGCCATTTCCCTTGTCGTTCTGCATTGTTCCTTTTCATCTGCTTTTCTGGTGTAATGCAAGGTATGACATGACAGAGGGCTGCAAATTAAAAAAAAAAAAGGATATGGGAAATATTACAGCAATGAGGAATGCATTACATTGCACTAGATATGAAATGGCCAACAGCCAGCTTTGAGCTACAAAAATAGCAATTTCTCTGGTTCAACCCACTACCTCCAGGGGAAGTTGTGTAAGTTCTTGGATGGCGCTTCCACATTTTTGAGCTTGATTCTGAAATGGTGGTCAAAAGTTTTCAGCAGACTATTGAGAGGGGGTGGAGGACCATCAAAGTGGACAGCATGAACAAAGACCCAGAATTGTGTGTGGAGGATGGAGTACAAGGGATAGAGAGCATTAGAAGTACCTCAGTTCAGGCAGAAGATATGGTCTGTTCTCCCGATACAGAGAAGAGTTTTTGTCCCTTAGCCAGCCCCTCCCTCTCCTACCTCCCTGCTTTTGTACATGTTGTCCCCTTGGCTTGGCACATTCTTCTCCCTGAGTCTTGCTTACTCTTCAAATCTGTCATCACCTCCTCCAGGAAGCTTTCTTGTACCCCACTGCCAACCCTGGGCTGGTGATAGGTAAGTATCTATCACATGTGCTCCTTGGCACCACCCTGATGTATTTGCATCACGTATCTGTGTCTCTTTCTCCACTGGTGGACTGGGAGCCCATTGAAAATGGTCTACAGTGCCTGGCACAGAGCAGGTGCTCAACAGATATGCATGGAATGAGCACATGAATTAAACGTGGAGTGGGGAGAGGCAGAAGTCAGCGATGATGTTGGTGTTTCAAGTGTGGGTGCCTAGGAAGATCATCAAGTTCACTTTTGAACTTCTACGAATGCTCAACTTGTGTATTTGTGTGTATACATATGTATATGCATATATATGTACATACATGTGTATGTATATGTGTGTGTGAGTGCATGTGATTGTATGTGTGTATGTATTTCTTTTACAAGAAATCAGAGTACTTAACCATGTCCATGAAATGAATAAGAATTTTATAATTTGAAAAACCATTCTATTCTAACCACCTGTGAGATAATGATGAATATATGTCGTGCTTTTTCATATAGGACTCTATCGACAGGAATAAAATAGCAGTAATTGGACACTCTTTTGGTGGAGCCACAGTGATTCAGACTCTTAGTGAAGACCAGAGATTCAGGTAAGAGAAGGAGGCAAAGAAAGAAAATAGTAAGTTACTGGAAGAGGGAAAGCGATAACCCATGTGAGATAGAATATTTATCAAATTCTTAATGAGGAAAGGATCCTTCAGGGTTTATAAGTCTGTTCTTTTGCCTCCATAAAGTACCTTATATGAATTTTCCCAGACAGAAATCATCTACTTTACTTGCTGTTAAAAGCTTTTCCCATTCCTATATATTTTCCCTCATCATTCTTATTTATCTGCTTAAGGGCTTAATATTTTCACTTGGAAATTTATCCTTATATATACATTTTATCTATGACATAATGGTTGTGATATCAGTAATGTATCTTATAGTACTTCTAGATTTCCCCAATATGCAAGGCATTTTTAAATTATTTTTTTTTCCATCTTTAAGATCGATAGAGGTCTTGGGGCATCTGGGTGGTTCAGTCAGTTAAGCATCTGACTCTTGGTTTCAGCTCAGGTCATGATCTCAGAGTCGTAAGAACAAGTCCCAGGTTGGGCTCTGCACTCAGTGCAGAGTCCGTTTGAGATTCTTTCCCTCCTCCTCTCCCTCCCCCTCTGCTCCTCCCTCCACTGGCTCTCTCTCTTTCTCAAATAAATAAATGAATAAATACATAAAATCTTTTTTAAAAAGATGGATAGAGGTCTTAAATTACAGTTGGTGAGAGTCAGGACCAGATGCCAGTCTTATAACTTGAAAATATTTTCTTTCTTGAACCACGGCATCACAGACTTGATGAGATCATGAAGAGCCAACCATCTAGAAAATGGGTAGGACCCTTTGTGAAACTTCATCTCACAAATTTTTAAAATCAGTTTCCATAAGGGAATTCTCTTTTTTTGCCCATTTAGCACATAAAGTGGAGTGTCCAAAAGGTCCAGAAACATAGGATAAACTTACTTGTAAAAAGCAAGTTACATTTTCAAATGATATACCCCGTATGTTTTTCTTCAACCTCCAGACACTTTTCCAGGTGAAGTACCTCTAAATATAAAGCAACTGGTCCAACAGTTAACTGTGAAAAAGGCATAATAAATTGACAGCAGAGTGTCCAGAAGGTCTGGAAACATAGGGGCAATAGGGCATATATTGTATGTCTCCAGACACCCCACAATTTTGGAGAAATTGTTATTTAAGAATTTATTTTGAGAAAGCAATGTAGCAAAAATGAATAAAACATTTTAAGGATACTATATCTTTCTAAAGGTCACAATTCCTAAATGTCTCCTAAAGAAAATGATTATATAATTCCAAGTCCGCTACCTTATAAAGCTAATCATATTCCCTTCCCACACTGAGGTATAATACCAGTGAGATAACCCATGATAAACCAGGATGGTGTATGCCCATTAAACCTAACATCATTAGAAATTCCACATGTCAGTCAGCGTGTAACCAGCCTTCTTTTGTCATTGTCCCCAAACTCCTGCAGGTGCGGGATTGCCCTGGATGCTTGGATGCTTCCACTGGATGATGAGATATATTCCAGAATTCCTCAGCCCCTCTTTTTTATCAACTCAGAACGGTTCCAGTATCCTGCTAATATCGAAAAAATGGAAAAATGCTACTCACCTGGCAAAGAAAGAAAAATGATTACAATCAGGTAAATATTAGTAAGTGATTTATTTCATCATCTGAAACAGAAACTTGAAACTTGGATAAACACCAAAAGATACCATTTGGTAGGCATGATAGAGTTGTTAAATTCATTGTTTAGACTTTCAGTGAGGGAGAATATTAGATAATTTCAGGGTCTAAGTGCATTTATATTTGCTCTTTTTTAAAATGCAGATGTTTTGAGTAGTTTTTTTTTATGTTATGTTAGTACATCACTAGTTTTTGATGTAGTGTTCCATGATTCATTGTTTGCATATAACACCCAGTGCTCCATACAATACATGCCCTCCTTAATACCCACCACTGGGCTACCCCATCTCCCACCCCCCTACCCTTTGAAACCCTCAGTTTGTTTCTCAGAGTCCATAGTCTTTCATGGTTCATCTCCCTCTCTGATTCCCCCCTTCATTTGTCCCTTCCTTCTCCTAATGTCCTCCATGCTATTCCTTATGTTCCATATATGAGTGAAACCATATGATAATTGTCTTTCTCTGCTTGACTTATTTCACTTAGCATAATCCCCTCCAGTTCCATCCATGTTGATGCAAATGGTAGGTATTCATCCTTTCTGATGGCTAAGTAATATTCCATTGTATATATGAACCACATCTTCTTTATCCATTCGTCTGTTGAAGGGTATCTCGGCTCCTTCCATAGTTTGGCTGTTGTGAACATTGCTGCTATGAACATTGGGGTGCATATGACCCTTCTTTTCACTACATCTGTGTCTTTGGGGTAAATACCCAGTAGTGCAATTGCTGGGTCATAGGGTAGCTCTATTTTTAACTTTTTGAGGAACCTCCATACTGTTTTCCAAAGTGGCTGAACCAGCTTGCATTCCCATCAACAGTGTAAGAGGGTTCCCCTTTCTCCATATCCTCACCAACATTTGTTGTTTCCTGTCTTGTCAATTTTTGCCATTCTAACTGATGTAAGGTGGTATCTCAATGTGGTTTTGATTTGAATTTCCCTGATGGCTAATGATGTTGAACATTTTTTCATGTGTCTGTTAACCATTCATATGTCTTCTTTGGAGAAGTGTCTGATCATGTCTTCTGCTCATTTTTTGACTTGATTGTTTGTTTTTTGGGTGTTGAGTTTGAGAAGTTATCTTTATAGATCTTGGATACCAGCTCTTTATCTGTAGTGCCATTTGCAAATATCTTCTCCCATTCCGTGGGTTGCCCCTTTGTTTTGTTGACTGTTCCTTTGCTGTGCAGAAGCTTTTCATCTTGATGAAGTCCCAAAAGTTCACTTTTGCTTTTGTTTCCCTTGCCTTTGGAGACATGTCTTGAAAGAAGTTGCTGTGGCTGATGTCGAAGAGGTTACTGCCTGTTCTCCTCTAGGATTTTGATGGATTCCTGTCTCACATTGAAGTCTTTCATCCATTTAGAGTTTATCTTTGTGTATGGTGTGAGAGAACAGTCGAATTCCATTCTTCTGTATATAGCTGTCCAATTTCCCCAGCACCATTTCTTGAAGGGACTGTCTTTTTTCCATTGGATATTTTTTCCTGCTTTGTAGAAGATTAGTTGACCATAGAGTTGAGGGTCCATATCTGGGCTCTTTATTCTGTTCCATTGATCTATGTGTCTGTTTTTGTGCCAGTACCATGCTGTCTTGAGTAGAGTTAATGTAAGTTCTTCATATACTGATAATTAAAATTTGCATTAGGATACATGCTATTTTTATTTAAACACAAGAGCAGGCTTATGCATTTGGGGGCTGGGGTAGGGAGAAGTATTCCATCATCAGCCTAGACTAGGAACTCTTTGGGAAAAAGGGCAGAGCACTGAGATCTGCAGTGTGTACCTGTTTAGAAAGAATATGAATTTATAAATTCCCCCAAAGCTATAATCGGATGCCCTTGAACATTAGTGATATGCTGATATCATGGGTGTGAAAAAGAAACCCCAATAGAGTTTTGAACTCACAGTGTGATGTTCCAAGGTAGGGCTCATCCCTCATCTGAAACCTGGTTATTTCGAAGAAGAAAAAAAGAGGGGGTGGGAAGGAAACATAAACCGTATAGGCAGTAAACCCTATGGGGTCAAAGAATGGTGTGTTCTCCACCTGAGGTGTTCAGGAGAGGCTGCTTGGGAGACATGGGAGTAGAATTTTTCTTGAAGGATCAAGAGACTTTAGAAAAATAGTGAGGAGGGTCTAGGTAGTTTAGTTAAGGACCTCAATTTAGCTTCAAGTTAGTTAAGGACTTCAGTATTTGGATGCGCAAGTCTATTTAATTTTAAAACAGAAATAATGCAGAATGCCTAGCCTGCCTCAACCCCACTTCCTTACTAGGCTCTTACTCTACATCTTTTCCTTCTTTTCACTGCTAGGAACCTGGAAAGAATAGTCCATCCTTACTTCCATTTACACTTTTTTTTAAAATTAATTGATTTTTAATTTAATTTTATTATGTTATGTTAGTCACCATACAATACATCATTAGATTTTGTGTCCATTTACACTTTGATTCTTGTGGGCTAGCTTCCAAAACCCCCCCAGTGTACTGAAACTGGCCCTACCGAGGACATAAAAGGCCCAGCAGCCTATTGCAGCCTGGACCTTGCTCTCTGCATCCATTTGACCTTGACCTTGTGGACTTCCTTATTTCTCCTTCCCGGGATACTGCTGTTTGCTGCTCCTCTCATCCTTTAGACTGCTCCCTCCCGTTCTCCCCCACCATCTCCTCCTGAGGCCATTCCTCCCCTGTTGGTAGCATCCGGGCTTCTGCTCCTGACCCTGTTTCTCCCTGCTTTGTGCTTCTGACACTCAGGTTGTGATCGGAAGCAGGGAAGAAGGAACAGGAGGCAGGTGGCTCCGGTTCGGGTATAGATAACAGAGGGTGGTGGTCGGCTTATAAGCAGCAGCAAAATGAAGAGGAAGAGGTGCACCAGGTGGGGCTGGAAAGATGTGTTCTAACCTTGGAATCTCTTAGCTTGAGCCAGGGAGATCTGGGTAGAGATGTCTGGCCACACACTGGGAAAGTAGAGAATTTGTGTATTATACATGAAATCTTTGGAGTAGATAAGACCACCCAGTGGGTAAAAATTGGTCTGAGAACAGAATCTTGAGGAATGTCTATATGTATGTGAAGAGCCAGTGGAGAACAGAGTGGTTAGGGGAAGAAGGGAAGGTACAAACAAGGGAAGAGAAGGTCAAGGAAACACAGGGGGGCAGAAAACCTGCAAGAAAGTGTCAAATGTCTCAGAGGCAGTAGAAAATGAGCCCTAAAAAAAGGCCATTGTACTTGATGTTAGGCTATTGGTGGGTTTAAAGAGCCTCATAAATAATACCTATAAGCTATAAGCTTAAATAATACAAGGAAAACAGTTTTTTTCCTTAAATCTACTTAATCCCAGGCTTATGTGCAGTGTGTTTTGATTGGCATCAAATAGAAAAGAAGTTAGGTGGTGTTGGTAAGCAAATATACTAGGCTTCTGGCTCTGAGTACATAGTCCCTGTGACATGTAATACATTGTATTGGCTCAAAAAAAAGAGCTGGAATCATTTCTTCTAAAGCCAAGATGCCAAGGAAGACTGGAATCTTTATCTAGAAGGGAAGATGAATATATACTCTAAGATCCCTATGCGCACAGCCTGTGACCCGCAAATACATCTAAAGAGATCGAATCTACAAGTTTTATTCCCTTAGTTTTCAGTAAATAGCCAGCTAGGATACTTCCTGCACCCTAACTATAAAAATAATTTTGCCAAACTATGTGATTTATAAATGTCTCATTTCTCTTTCAGGGGTTCAGTCCATCAGAATTTTGCTGATTTCACTTTTGCAACTGGCAAAATAGTTGGATACATATTCACCTTAAAAGGAGATATAGATTCAAATGTAGCACTTGATCTTAGCAACAGAGCTTCATTAGCATTTTTACAAAAGCATTTAGGTAAGAAACTAAGAGTATTTCATGACATGAACCAGGTGATTCTTAGGACAAAACTGTCTTAATCCAGCATTAGTCCTGTTTTAAATGTCTCCAGTTGGTTTACAAGGTAACATAGCAGTAAATCAGTTTGAAAACAAAAGCATGAGAAATTTAATTCTGGTGCTTTGCATGCTTTGTATCCCAGACACCGAGTCTGCCTGTTAAAGGGAATAGTTTTTCCGTGCAGACTTGGCGGACTCCCATGCTGAGGGGCCTGGCAGCTCCGTGTCTAGTCCCATCTCTTACTCAGAAGCCCCAGCCCTGGGCAGCTCCCAGGGAGGAGACCTGGCCTCCGTGATCATCTGTCACTAGCGAGGCTGTGCTGCCACCTAGAGGCACTGAGCTGTTTCATGCTCTCAAAAAGTTTACTATGCTCATTACCATTTCTATTTTACAGGACTGCAGAAAGATTTTGATCAGTGGGATTCTTTGATTGAAGGAGAAGATGATAATCTTATTCCAGGGACTAACATTAACACAACCAGCCAACATGTCACTCTACAGAACTCTACAGGAAAAGAGCAATAGAATTTAGATTAAAAGCACTTTTTTAAAAGTCTTGTTTAAAAATGGTCTGAAAGTATGTGTGTGTGTATGATTTTAATGTATTTTCTCAAATAAATCATATTGTAAAATGTAGACTATACCATAAAAGTGATTGAAGCTTGGACTAGGATTTTTTTCTTTAAATGTAAGAAAGACAGATGTATATCAAAACCATGCCAGCCTAAATTTTGATTTTAGTAAAATGATGCTTTTTTAGTGTCAAAATAACGACTTTTACATTACTTTAGTGACAAGTGTATCAAAATGGGCACAATGCTAATGAAAACGTTGCAATGACATAATCCTCCTTAAAAATACAATACAGGTTTTCATGCCCCCCCTTTCTTTTTTATTGTGAGTAGAATTGAGGTTTTTTTTTTAAGATTTTATTTATTTACTTGACAGAGAGAGACACAGCGAGAGAGGGAACACAAGCAGGGGGAGTGGGAGAGGGAGAAGCAGACTCTCTGCGGAGCAGGGAGCCTGACGCGGGGCTCGATCCCAGGACCCTGGGATCATGACCTGAGCCGAAGGCAGACGCTTAACCGAGCCACACAGGCGCCCCAAGTAGAATTGAGTTTTAGCAACATGGTATTCCAGGTAGAATTTGGAAGCACTTCCCTTTGACTTTTGGTCATGGGAAGAAAAATTAGATCAAGCAAATGATAAAAGCATTGTTTTACCACAGGATTAAGGATACTAAACAATTTCAACATGGTAACTAATGGGGAGTGGCCAAGGGTAAGAATATTGGAGACAAGGCAAATGAAGCAGATTAAAATGGATTAAAGAGAGTTGATAATTTGTTTGCCTTTACTTGATTATCTCTGGTGGACTCTACCTACTCAAGAAAGGTGTGTAAGACAGGCCAGGGATTCCAGTTATAATACATTATTCACCCAAAGGCTGTGAAGGATAACAAAGGGAACATTCAGAATTACTTTTAACTGGTTGATTTTTCCAATTAGTTTTACTTATGTTCTTTAATTTTGTATGAAGTGGAAGCAGAATAGCACAATACAGGCATATGTTGCTTTAGTGGGCATAGCAGTTTACTGCATTTCTTACAAATTGAAAGTTCAAGACTTGAGTGGAGGAAGTAACAGCAGGTGGGGTGGAAGTTGCAAGAGACCTTGGATTCAAAGTGGGGCCTGAAGATGGAACTGACTTGCTTTATCATCTCATGATAAAACGTGAATGGCTGAGGAGTGGCTTCTTATGGGTGAACAAAGAAAGTGGTTTCTTGAGATGGAATCTACCCCTGGTGGAGATGCTGTGCAGATGGTGGAAATGATCACAGAGGATTTAGAATAGGAGTTATGCTTAGTTGAGAAAGCAGCAGCAGGGCATGAGGACCCACTCCAACTTGGAAAGAAGTTTCTGTGAGTAAAATGCTGTCAAACAGCATGCACGAGAAATCGTTCATGGAAGGAAGAGTTCATCAATGTGGTGAACTTCATTGTTGTCTTATTTTTTAAAACTGCCACAGCCAGTCCAGCCTTCAGGAACCGCCCCCCCGATCAGTCAGCAGCCACCAACATGCAAGCAGGACCCTCCACTGGCAAAAAGATCACAACTCACTGAAAGCTCAGCTGATGGTTAGGTTATTTTTTTAGCAATAGTTTTTAATTAAGGTATGTACATTGCTTTGTTTAGATAATGCTATTGCACATTTAATAGACTACACTGTAGTGTAAACATAACTTTTATATGCACTGGGAAACCAAAAAAGTCATTTGACTCACTTCATTGTGGTTATCTGTAGTGATTTGGAACTGAACGCATGTATCTCTGAGGTAGGTCTGTATATGGAGGTAAAAAGCAAAAAACTTTATGCTTATACATCTGGGAGTCATGAAAAATAGTTTTTGTTTCCTGAGGAATATAAAAATGTGTGCCACTCATTAGTTAAGTATATTTTGGCTTAATTATGGTCTGGTTCCTATGAATTCTTCATAATTGTTTAAGCCTTGTGAACAGGGATACTCAGGACTTCGTAAGCAAGCCTGGTTAACTTTATTCCATCCCTACGCCTTGTGCTCAGTTAATAAGTAACTGTGTATTTTGATTTGACACTTCAGGCTCTCTTAATATTTCAGGGTGCAAAAACACTCATTTTGGGAAATTTGACTTCTCCTATCCCATAGCCATACTGATTTTAAGAATTTTTGAAGAGTTAAACTCCCTAGCATGAAACTGAAGGCTTTCTATAACCTGGCCCTAATGTATCTTCTCTGACCTTTTCTGCCACTAATCCACAGCCATATCACTTGCAGGAAGGAACCAAACTTGTCTATTCTTATCCCAGGAACAAGCAATATGCTTTCTACCTCAACTATGTTTACTGCAAAACCCTCTCCTTTCTACTTATTGAAGTTATACCCAACTTTCAATGTCCTTAGTTCTCACTGTTCCCTCATCAGGCTTCAGGGTCTGACAATGTTTCACAGACATACATCTTTCCCCCACCTTCACGTAGCAAACCTTATTCATTTTAGAAATGGGTAACACTTCCAATTGTCCTGATGTCTCATTCAGTAATATCTTTTTAAAATCCTTTATTGGTGGTATATGCAGATGCTAAAGGAGAGTATATGCAGATGCTAAAGGAGAATATAACCACAAAAAAAAAAAAGACCTAATGAGTTAAAACTTAAAAATATAATAATGACCCAATGCGCACATTGAGTATCTTTCAGGGAAAAGAATACTAGTTCCAGTCTTAAAAGCACTTTGAGAAAGGTTTTATTATCCCGCTTGACAGATGAGGAAGATCAAGTCTCAGAGGTCGTGTATAACCTGTCCAGGTCACATATCTCATTAGCAGCATTCAGCTAAGAGGTGTCCCACAGCAAGGATCTGTACCACCACCTATACAAAACCCTGTTTTAACAGCATGGGCTTGGAAGTTAGATGGGTCTGCGTTTGGTCAGGTTTCTGAGACTCTCCAGCTCTTTGACCTATAGAGAAGTTATGTAACTTCTCTAAAAAGCGTCAATTTTCTCACCTATAAAATATGGATAATATTGCCCCTTGTGGTTGAGAATTTGAGAAATGCACTTAAAGCACCAGTTGAGGGACTGACCTATAAGAGCTAATATTGATGACTGCTGTTTCCCCCATTACTACAGATAATCTGGAACCACAGATGTTCCAGAATCGTACTTCCTTTTTAATAAAATGAAACCACCACAACTTTCAGGAGAAACTTTATTCAGATCTGGGGTCATATTAGAATACTTCCAAAATCAAACGGAGTATTAGTCAAATGTTTAACTACATAGACAAGGCAAAGCTTCAGAAACAAAACCAAAAATCCAGAGGAGTTACTGCTAACAAAGCCATCCCCCAAAGTAGCATCATATGATATACTTGTCATAAACCTATAATTTTCTATTTTAAACACTATATTCAAAAGAAACAAAAATAGGGTTTTTTTTTTTTTTGAAATTTGAGTAATATGTTAGCAAACTGTTTAGCAAAATAAATCCTAACTGATTAGGAACATAACACATTTAAAGGGAGAAGAAAGATCCCAGATCCATATATACAGCAACACCACTATCAATCCATTGCATAAACACCCTGAGATCTATTTTGTTTTCAGTGCAAATCAAAGTTTTCAAAAATGACAGCTTCTTGTGATTACATGCTCTCGATAGGCTTGAATGCTCTGTCGGTCTGGGTAAGATGCCACTTATTTAAGAGCAGTTTCTGAGTGACTGGCACATCTATGGATCCACTGTTAAATCTATATCACCTCCAGACCCCTTTTCTGGAAAAAAAAAAACGAGAGAGAGAGAGGGAAAAAAACCTTCAAGTTGAAAAAGAAAGAAACAAGAAAATTATTTACATGGTGCTATCACAACAAATTTAATGTCCTCTCAAAATGGTGAGAATTATTCTGTGGAGAAATATTCCCGCAGAGATTGCTGTTTTTTTTTTTTTTTTTCTTTTAGTAATTTTGTTCTACACTCTACCTATTATCAAACAAAATTTCTCTAAAATATTATAAAATTGGCATATTTTGTATTTTGCTAGAATGATGTTAGCCAAGCTGATAACCAAGTAAGTCCTTTGTTCTCTTTCATTAGTACATATTTTTCGAATAATACCATAGCCCCCCAGAGCTGATTTCATTCTCAGTGCACCTCAATTCTAAGAACCAGTGTGCTACTTATGAACAAGATCATGCAATAACCAGTAACTTTCAACAAATTGAATCTTATTAGCTAAACTGAAAACCCAGAAAGAAATTCCAAGAGATCATTTCACATACAAAGATCATTTGAATGTATGAGCTAATCAACACTGAGAAAACTCTCTAAAGTACTTTAAAATATAAATTTATCAAATTCACAATGTAATTTTCAAGATTAGTTCAATCAACAAATAAGTTTTCTTATAATATTTCAAGAAATCCTCTTCTTGGTTATTTATCCCCAGAAGCACATTTAATATCTCTAACTAAAGAGTTTTGTTTTTTTTTTCTACCACTGACATCTAAGGAAATTGGTAAACCATTTTTATTTGAGGATTCATCATAATGGTATCTTTAAGACTTAGCAAACTGGTGATAAAAGTTATTTTATTTTCAGAAGGAACCTTTGGATTACTACCAATTTTTTGTTACAGACACAAAATGATTAAAATCAGAAAGGGGACAGATAAACCAGAAAAATGGTAAACAATGAAAAACTTATCCGTTTAAAAGTGTGACAAACTGATTTTATAGTAAAGAATCATCCGAGTACATTTTCTATCTTTCCAATACTCATTTCTCTGGAACATGTCTACTGGAGCATCCCACACAGGGAATAAAGTACCTTTTCCAATTTTTAGCTCCCAAACCGACAACTCTGGTGTCTGGTACATTTTTCAAAGGGCTACTCTTCAAACACATTATCCATGGTGAGCCACAGATCCCTCATTAAAGACTTGATGAAGAAGGATATTTCTGCTATATTCCTTTCAACAAATAATAGCACTGTGTGTGTACATGAGGCCTATACAGAAATTAATTCATGAGACATATTCTTACAGTGAAATGAAATCACTCAGATGAAAAAAAATTCTAAAAAATATGTAATCAGAAAGACTCCCAGATCACAGTGCCTTGACAGATCACCAGAAAAGTCATGCGTAATTTAATACCTCACAGTATCCACTTTTTAAGGAAAACCAGTTCATTTGTAGACACATATGCAAGAGTTTCTTCAAATTTGAGGAAAGGATCATTTCAACCTCATTACTAACCAAATTTTAAAAAGAAAAGCCTTACTCATAAGTAGTCTCTATATTTGCTAATCAATGTA